ATTATTCCCGAGTCTTTCGGGAACCTGACGAGCCTGGAGGAGTTCATGCTGAGCAGCAACAACGTCTCAGGTTCGATCCCTGCAGTTCTTTCCAATGCTACGAGCTTGGTGCAGTTCCAGGTCGACAGCAACCAGATTTCCGGCTCTATCCCGCCCGAATTTGGGTCTTTTGCTAATTTACAGATTTTCTTCGCATGGGACAATAAGCTAGAGGGAAGTATACCGGCAACATTGTCCGGTTGCAAAAGCATCCAGGCCCTGGATTTGTCGCGCAACTCATTAACCGGCATTTTGCCGCCGAGTATTTTTGAACTAGGAAATTTGACAAAGCTTCTGTTGATATATAATGATATATCGGGCCCGATCCCACCCCAGATAGGCAATTGCAAGTCTCTGTACAGGCTGAGACTGGCCGGGAATAGAATAAACGGACAAATACCGAGGGAAATCGGATTGCTCTCGAATTTAAGCTTTCTCGACCTTTCTACCAACCATTTAAGCGGAATTTTGCCCGACGAAATCGGAAACTGTGGGGAACTACAGATGCTGAATGTAGCCGGAAATTTGCTAACCGGGAATCTGCCGAGCTCTCTGTCCTATCTCAGTAAACTAGAAGTGTTGGATATTTCTACAAATAAGCTCGTGGGCCCAATCCCCGGAAGCTTTGGCGAGCTCTTTTCACTTAACACCCTCTCGCTCGCCGGAAATTCATTATCCGGTGAAATTCCGTCGAGCCTCGGGCGGTGCTCGAGGCTTCAGATGCTCGATTTAAGCCAGAATCAGCTTTTCGGCAGCATACCCCCTGAAATCTTCGAAATCGAGGCCCTCGAGATCGCGTTGAACTTGAGCTGGAACTCGCTGACCGGAAAAATCCCGCCTCAGGTGGTGTCTCTGGACAAGCTATCAGTTTTGGACCTCTCGCACAACAGCTTCGAGGGGGACCTGATGTCCCTCTCGAGGCTCGTGAATTTGGTCTCGCTTAACGTCTCGTACAACAATTTCACGGGCTACCTTCCCGACAACAAGCTTTTCCGGCAACTTTCCGACGAGGAGATCGCCGGAAACCGGGGACTGTGTTCCGGTGGGCGCGAGTCGTGCTTCTTGATCAGTAATGCCGAAAATGTGGGGAAGGATCGAATGCGACGCGTCAAATGGCCGTGGAGGCTAAAATTGGCAATTTCGTCGCTAGTCGTCGTGACTATCGCTCTCGGGATTCTCGGGATTTTGGTGGTCGTTCGTGTTAGAAGAATGGGTCGCGAAGGCAAAGATTCCGAATTGGGAAATGCCGACTCGTTTTCTTGGAAATTCACTCCGTTCCAAACGAAGCTCAATTTCTCGGTCGAGCAAGTGCTCAAATGTCTCGTAGAAGGCAACGCGATCGGTAAAGGATGCTCGGGAGTAGTCTATCGCGCGGAGCTCGAAAACGGCGAAGTGATCGCCGTGAAAAAGCTCTGGCCGTCAACAACTACGCGTGCCGGTAATTATAACGACGGTGCAAGTGGGGTCCGCGACTCGTTCTCGACCGAGGTGAAAACGCTCGGGTCCATCCGGCACAAGAATATCGTCAAGTTTCTGGGCTGCTGCTCGAACCGGAACACGAGGCTGCTAATGTACGATTACATGCCGAACGGAAGCCTCGGGAGCTTGCTTCACGAGCACGGCAGAGGATGCTTGGAGTGGGACGTGAGGTATCGGGTGATTTTGGGGTCGGCTCAGGGCTTGGCTTATCTGCACCACGACTGTGTTCCACCGATCTTGCACCGTGACATCAAGGCCAACAACATACTGATCGGGCCCGATTTCGAGCCCTACATTGCCGATTTCGGTATTGCAAAGCCCGTCGACGGTGGGGATTTCGCGCGCTCGTCGAACGCCGTTGCCGGTTCGTACGGTTACATTGCCCCTGGTTAGTCTGGGATTAATCTCTTATCCAATTACTATTTATTTTATATTTTAGTTAATTAATTTATTTATTATTATTTTTTTGTTTGTGTAGAGTATGGGTACAGTATGAAGATAACTGAAAAGAGCGACGTGTACAGCTATGGAGTGGTCGTGCTCGAGGTGTTGACGGGAAAGCAGCCGATTGACCCGACGATTCCGGACGGGGCCCACATAGTGGATTGGGTTAAGCAGAGGAGGAGGCAAGGGGAAGAGGTTTTGGACCCGAGCATGATGCGGAGGCCCGAGCCCGAGATTGAGGAAATGATGCAGACGTTAGGTGTGGCAATGTTGTGCGTGAACCCGATGCCTGAGGATCGGCCCACGATGAAGGATATTGCTGCAATGCTTAAGGAAATAAGGCACGAGCGGGAGGAGGTGCCGAAAGTCGATGTCGTGAAAGTTGGGGCGGACGAGAGCAAGAGCTGCGGGTCGTCGAAAATGGAAGGGTTGTACTCGAGCAGTAACAAGTCGAGCTTTTCGGGTTCTTCTTTGCTGCTGCACTCTGTGGCTAAGTTTGGTTTCAATAAGTAGTTGGTTGGAATAATTGGATGGGGGTGTGGTTTTTTTGTGAGCATCCTGTGATTATGTTGTTTTTTGCCACTATTTTTTGTTTTGTTTTGTTTTGTTTTTACTTTGTACTTGTAGTTAAGTGTGTGTGATCTTGTGTTTTACATGATTGTGATGATCTTTACTGAAAAGCTTTCATTTTGCTTGAGTTGTTGATCACTCCGTTTCATATATTGTTCTTTTGAGAAAACTTGGTAAAAATGAGATCACGAGAGGAGTTAATATGTTGTTGCATAATTGTAGCAGTTTTTCTGTATTAAGTCAACAAAATAAGAGATTATGTCTGAATATTATTTAAATTATGCTACACTTCCAAAATGATTTAGGATAAATTCGAAAATACACTATAGTAATACCCAAAATCGACAATCCAAATTTTACCAACAGGGACTTGGAGAGCTGCTTGATGAGAAGGTTAAGGAGTGAAATCTTAACAGTTAACACCATTAACAGTATCTTCCCTGAGTCCAAGGGAAGCCACATCACTGCTATAAGTCTATGCTCGCCAATATGAAGGCAGTTCATGCTTTGTTTCTGTGGCACCTGTTTTCTTTTGTTAGGGTCTGAAGGGTGAAGAACAAGTTGTTCGTCTTCCCTTTGCTCGTTAATCACAGCTTGGGCTTTCACTTCTTTTTCCTTTTGTTTTTGGGTGCTGCTTTGTTTTTGTTTTTTTAGTTCCCGGGCCAAATAGTTTGCTTGTGGTTTCTCTAGCCTACTCGGGTTATCAAGTAACTTTCCTTTTAATTTTGTTAGTATTTGTGGCCTAAATGAGATGAATTTTGATGGCCCAAATATTTATCAATTTCCACGCCCAATATCATTTGGTATGGACGTAGACAGCCAATTTTGATCTAATGTGATATTGACCATTCGTATTTAAGTAGTTTGATCTTGCCATCTTGGTCGTTCGTTGTCCTCTTTAAATACCTTCCAGGTGGTCTTTGTGTAGGGTAGCCCTATGAGTTCTGATATATCGATCGCAACCATTCCAAAAAATATGCTCACTCTCTTATGCTCTCGCTCTCTCTCCTTTTGGCTTTGTGTCAAAATTGACACAACCATCTTTCATCCTTAGAAATCTTTGTGATAAGGGGATTGTGAGTGTGGTGAAGGTCTACTTCGTGTATTCAGTCGGGTTTTTTGTGAAAGGTGTTTGGGAGTTTCGTGTACGAGCTGTTTTTGGGCCGAGCTTTGTACGATGGCCGGTGGTATTACCGCTGGACTTGCAGTGCAAGAGTTATTGAGGCCACAAATCCATCAATCGGTTCTTTGGTGACTCATTTTGAGGGGTTGGCGAAAGAGTTATAGAGTTCTAACAACATAATTATTGTGACGTTTTTAATAAATGTAGTTAAAATTAATGTATTTGCAACGCTTTTTAAAAAGCGTTACAAAGATAAAATTATAACAACGTTTTTTTTTAAAATGTAATCAAATCATGTCACTCTTTAAAAAATGTCACCATGTTAACTAATATTAAGACATTTATTTCAAAGTGTAATTAAATTATTACGTTTTATACAAAAGTATCGTCATGTTTAGTTATGTAGCGACACATTTTGAAAACTATACTAAAATAGTAACACATATTTAAAAAATGTCACAAATTTTACTAATATTAAAGTATTTACATTAAAGTATAATTACTTTATGACACTTAAAAATACGATTTTTGTATAAACCCAACGTCAAAATGCATTTTCTCAAATCTTTCCAAAAGACCTAATCTGTCAACCCTAGCGGCGGTGGAGGTGGCAGGCGCTAGCACGGGGAGCGGCAGCGGCGGCGGTAGGCGTAGCACCTGAGACGACGACAGAAAGAGAGGGGACCAGGAGCTGCAAGGCAACGACACAGAGAAAGACTCGGCGAGCGACGAGGCGTCTTCATTCCAGCAACACTTCTTGTATTCATGGTTGAATTGCAATTACCTCGACATAATCACTTCAATCCTATGTGAATCTACACGTAAACTCTTTTTTATGGTAATTATTAATTGATTTCCTTGTGCTTTTGTTTTTTTTTTTAAAAAAAAAAATAGATTTTGCATTCTTGGCATATAATGGTGAATCTTTTATCTTCATCTATGAACCATCACAATTCTGAGAAAAGCTTCTTCAATTCTGGGATATCATGATGTATTTGGGTGCTGATTATTCACTTAAAATTTCTCGATGAAGTATTCTGGTGCTTAAAACCTGTTCGCCGCCGAGCATTGGTAAGCTTTTTTACACCCTCCTAATTAAATGCACACACCTTCTTCCTTTCTTTAACTTTCATTGTGAATTTGAACACCCTTTTTATCCAAGTACACAACCCCTCTTTATATTTCTCAAATTTTCTTGGGCCCAGATAAGTATATATTGGTCAGCTAATAGTAAAGTTTGAATCTAGTAATAAAAATGGTTCTTGCTGAATTTCTTATTTCCCTTTATCTTTTTAGAGGGGTAAAAATTGAATCTTTGTGTTCATTGATAAAGGAAAAAGAATGGATGGTTGGGGCTGTGTCTGTTGTGGGTTCTTCTTTTATCGATTCAAAGACTTGCCCATGCCTGTGTTTTGATGCTCTGCCTTCTTGCAAACTGACGGTGGGCATTGCCCATGCCTGTGTTTTGATGCTCTGCCTTCTTGCAAACGGACGGTGGGCATTTAGTATTGCAGGGGCATATGATTGGCACAAAGCACGTGCCTTGTTTGGGGGCGTTAGATGTGAGAAACTCATTTCTTGATTATGCCTCAGTTAAAGCTCTTGCAGGTTCAAAGATTTCGAGGAAGAAGAGAAAAAGTTAGAGTCCTGTAAGTGAACGAACTCGCTGGACAATATCAAGACAATTTTGAGGATGTTTAAAAAGGTGTGACTTTTATTTTTTAATTTCTTGATTCATGATAAGTAAAATATACTTCTGGGCTGATTATTACAGAAACATTAAAGCTTCTTTTGGTTTTTATTCTTTTGGGATTATACGAAGTTCTTTATAAATGGCTTGTGATTCAGTTGAGGGAGTTAAGTTAGATCTGAGTTAGAATATGTTTCAAATATGTGTTATCAATAAAATCTCAATGTCATATTTAGGATATGTTTAATGTGCTCATGGAATCTAATAGATAAAAGCATTCTTATTGAACTTTTGAATCCATTATGAAATATTTATCATATCTCAATGCAGTTCTGATTTTTTAATCTCATTTAATGCGTTCTACCAGTGGTTGATGTTATTTTAACCAATGTTATATTTAGTGATGAGAACCTCTTGTTTATTTATTTTTCTCTAGACAGCAAATTCTGGACTATTTTACTTACAAAGCTGTGAGGGTTTTTTTGAACCAGCTCTATGAGATGAACTACCCAGCTCGTTCTATAGGTAAAAGCCTTAAATCTATTTTAAGTCTATCTTCTTGATCGAATCTGTTTTTGAGATTTTATAATATCCTGTCAATAACTTAGAATTATGTTTTCTCAAAATTAAATGAGTAAAGTGCCAATGTTAATGTTATATTATATCTTTGGTATGCTTTGAGATACTTATCATGATAATCATTTGCAAATTTTGAAATACAAGTAAATAGCTATCATGATGGATGCGAACATGAGACAAAGCAGAAGCTCCAACTTGGCTGCAATAATCATCATATGATCATAATCCTTTGCAAATCTTTTTCAAGCTAACATGTGAGCTGCCATTCAAGCCCATGTAAGTCGTTGCATCTGTTGATCCCAATTAGTGCAGCTACTCGAACATACTTCATCGTGTTACCTTCAACGCGGTCTCCATGGAGCAAGAAATGGGAAGCATATTTGTGTGTTTGTTGGATTGCTAGAATATTATTTAGTTTTTATCATGTTTGAAAATTTGTATTTTGAATTGTAAGACTATTGGTGTGTTTGTTGAATTGCAAGAATATTATTAGATGAGAATATTTTAATTTTTGCCCCAATTTATTTTCTGCAAATGTATGTTTTAATGCAAATGTATGTTCTAACGGGTAAGTAAGTAAATAAATAAATAAAGACAAATTTGGAGTGGAGCAAGGTAGGGCGGGTCGGCCGCCACAGAATGGGCAAGGTTCGGTTCCGTATTTGTGGGTTGGGCCCATTGCCATCCCTATTGAAGTCGTTACAAAATAGTGTTGCTAAATACATAATCACGACGCAATAAAAAAAGTGTTGCGCATTGAAATTTATCAACGCATAAATTTTGTGTCATCAAAATTTGTTATGGCGACGCATGTAATAAAGTGTTGCATTAAAATTTACAACGCATATGTGGTGCGTCGCTAAAATTTATAATGATGACGCACTAAAAAAGCGTCAACCATGATTATTACAGACGCAAAACAGCTTGCGTCACAAATTAGCTACGCTAAAGTCTTGCGTCGCGGATAATTTCGTGACATCAAATTTAGCAACGCAACTCGCGACACTTTTAACAATGTAGGTAAATTTTTTTGTGACACTAATAAATGTCATTAAACAAAAAAATAAGCGTCGCCAAACACCTTTTTTTTGTAGTGTCATTTTCGACCCATCCTCGTGGCATTCGTAGCATTCCCCTCATACGAGAACTCGGTGAAGGTGTATTCGTTCCTATTAATATTTTTTATTTATTTCCAGTGATTTTATTTTATTTATGTTGTTTGATAGCTGAAATTTATCTATTTACTAGTAATTTCTAGTTTCAGCTTGAAACGGACAAATCAGGTGTTGTCCGGGACCTACTAGAGGCTCTTCGGGACCAATTGGGGCCAGCCCAGGCCCCACGAGTTGCGTACAACCACTCAATAAGTTTTAATTAATTTTATTGTTCCTGAAAAAATTAATTATCAACATATGAATTGGTAAACCAATCTGCAAAAGTAGCTTATCTCATATTATAATTATTACAAGTCGTTTGCATCTTTATGGAACAAGGATGAAGGGTATTTTTTTTTATTTTTTATTATTATTTTTTTTTAAAACAAACATCCAGCGGGGGGTGGGGGGGTGGGGGATTGAGGCTGGATCCCCAACCTGTATATAGTCAACGCCCTAGATGGGCTACAAAAGTCACAGGTTTACATAAGTCCAATAAAAACTGACGAAGACAACAACTAAAATTTCCACTTCATCAGCGAGTCTCAAAAATGGTTCGGTTTTTTCTTATTCCTCGTGCTGCGCCTAATCCACTGTTTTTTTCCCGAAGAGTTGGTGTAGATCTGGGGAGAATGGGGCAAGGCAGAGGGGGAGGGGTCAGAAATGATTGGTTTTTTACGCATGTTTGGGGCGACAGTAAAGTCATCTTCAAATTCAAAAAAGTGGTGCGAGTGGTTTGGGGAGTCCGGATCAGAATCAGAAGAGCAAGATTCAACAGTCATTGAATTGGGCTTAGGTGAACCTGGCTCCAATGAGTCAGGCACATTGCGTGGTCCCGCTTCAAGGAAAGTGGAAGGCCCAGGGATTTGGTCCGGGGAAGGAACCGGACCTAATAAGGAGAGGTTGGGTGGAGCCTTGTCATTAGAAGGTTTCAAGTCCGAAGGAGTCGGGTCCGGGGCAAGAGATGGGCTAGCGGAGCTCGGAAGAGCAAAAGAAGGGGGAGAAATATGAGGAGAGGGTTCAATGTCGGGGTTTTTTCCCTTGTTGATTTTGGCGGGACGAATGGTTGAATTTTTTATGTAGCAAGTTGAGTCATCGTGTCCTACATGAGAGCAATAGGAACAATAGTTTGGTAAGCGTTCAACCTCGACACTGAGTTCGACACGTTTGTTTCCGCAAGAGACGACGATACTAGTGGGATGGGAGGATTCAAGATTGAGAGCTACGCAAAAACGAGCATATTGGAGCCGAGTTTTTTTTAGTGCGGCATCATCGACTTTTAAAAGGGTGCCAAAGATGTTGGCGATTGTTCGAAGGGCCTTTAAATTGAAGCATTATAGGGGGAGAGCTGGGATTTTGATCCAAACCGGGACAATAGGTGGTTCTTTTTTTAAATCGAAATCGGCGGACCACTTGAAAATCCGCATAGGAAAATTAAGAATAGAGATTTCGCATTTCAACCAAAGTTTGGTGGACGTGTTTGGATCATCGACTTTGATCAAGACGTGATTGGCATGAAGGAAAAGAATTTTGCATCCGGTAAAACCCAAAAAAGTGAGTTTCGACCGAATAGCCTCGTTGGAGGGCTTGCCGAAAGAGAATTTGCCAATGAGGGCATATTTGAGGTCCTCCGACATTTTAAAGACTTTTGGAGGGGAAAAAAGAACCTCCGGAATGCTACCTGTTATTGTGTATATTTGTGTATTTACCGTATTAGCCTTAGGTTATCTATATCCCTAATTTTGTGTATATATATTCTTGGTTTATAGAGATTGTATCATCCGATTGAGATGATCTTCAGTACAATATTCGTCTCATCTCTTTCATATCATGGCATCATAGCCTAATTTTTTTTTTATCACAAATTTTTCTCGTCAAATTTGATCGCTCATATCCATTCAGATTGATATTATTTGTAAAGTGAGCACGGTTGCTGTCAGTCCGCATAGATTCCGTCAAAAAAATAAATAAATAAATAAATCTGTTCAAGCTTCTAGGCCGCTGCTCAAATTCCATGGCGATTTGGTTAATTCTCATCAAGGCGTCAATATTCATCTCGCGTGTTCCAAAAAAAAAAAAAGAATAAGAA